CTCTCATTGGTACAAACCAAGACTCACTGATAAAGATCACAAATTAGCATAAACATGCAGCTCTTTTAGCCAATGGAGCTGTGTCAGTAGATCTACACAAGGTGATTGGTGTGTTGAAAGTCAATAGGACAGTGTGAACAGACTTAAAAAACCTCCACTGTCACACCAGGACGACAGTCGCTGGAGACTGAACCACTTGATGATGCGTCTTACACTTTGTCTCTTTGTGCTGTGGATCGGTGAGTAGCCAACAACTGTCTCTTCAGCTTAGTTTACACTAAAAACCCTTAAAGACAAGGAAGCTGACATAATATTTCTGGCTTCATCAAACTATTAGTGTTGAATATTTATCTTTCAGACAAAGGCTTTTAATCTTATCCTTTACTTCTCCAGGGTAAGTCTCACTGAGATTTAAAACCCCTCTTTCTTGCCGGGTCCCTGGTGATATAGTGGCACTACACCCTACAAAGTAAAGTAGGCTGTTACTAACAGTATTCATAATCCAACAATACATTTATTAGAAAACTGTAATGCAAACAGATAATACAAGGTTATAATCCTGATAAAATATTCTGAAAAGCAAGAACATGAGGACAAAGTATTACACACCAGTGAGTTTACAATCCCTTTAAACTTACCCACTGAACCCAAACCTGCTAGCTGAAGATCCTTTTGTAAAGTATATGTGCAAACAAAGTCCAAATTTGGTACCAAGCTACATTAAAGTGTAAACTCCCAGTCCAAATCAGTCCTTGCATTCATCTGGCATTGCTATGGTTTTGCTTCACTTCTTGGTTTGAATGCTTTTAATTTGGTTAAGTCTTCCTGCCCCATGTCACCTCGCCCACCCTAGCTTTACCCTAGTACACATCACCATTCATTGTTTGCACTTGTTGCCCATTATCTCCCAGTCTACAGCCCTTTTATACCTCCTCTTTTCCCTCAGTCACTTGCTGGTCCATTGATGATGCTTGACAATGTTGACGATGCTCACCACACCCGGCCTTTCTTGCTTTGTTCCTCGGCACTGAGGACACTGTCATTGTTCTTGTCCAATCTACTGGCTGAACTTATGGCCGGTTTGGTTTCTGATCTGCCAGCAACGCTGTCGACTCTCCTGACTCTGTCTCCTTACTTGTGGGTTCCTGACTCCCAAGCTGTGCTGGCACCACAGCTACACCTTTGTTCTTTGTACCCTTATTATTTAATAAAGACGTTCTAAGCTTCTTCCTAGTCCTGGTCTGCATTTCAGGTCCTAGCCTAGTGTGAGAACCATGACAGGCATCACCATGTGTTTAAGAGGAGGTGTGGGATTAGGCTGAACATAAGATGCACCACCAGGGGAAAATCAGTTTTTAAACACTAATCTGATGTGATTTTTACAAAAACTTAACATCTTCGCTCCTTCCTCACTTATTAAAATGAATCTGTGCATTAACAGTGACTGATATATTAAATTTATTAGTGATTTTGTGCTGCTGCAGTGTTTGTTAACCTGATGCATTCACTTCATTCTTGTGCGCTGTGAAAAGTGACAGAGATGTTACTATGTCTGTCTCACAGTACAGTTCTATGACTGGCAATGGGACTTAAAGCAGACCAGGACATTAAATCAGCGCTGACGTTTGATCAATGCTCGCCACTACCGGCACATGAACACAGTGTCTCCAAGCCCCATTTTTCACTACAATGCAATACAAGGAAATGTAGTACATTTCACTTTTATTTACTAGTCAGTTTTAATGCACAAATGTATATGGGCTATGGTTCTGTTTTGCTTTCTAGTTAATAAGAATACTGACTCAAACATTGCTGCTGTGATACAGTAAATATATTTATCCTGAACTTGTAATTTTTCTTGTCAGCTTCACTTGGATCACATCATTTATTTATTGCAGTCAGGTCATATTTCTTTCATCATAATACTGAATATAATATACACTGTTTGGTTCTTATGATGCTTTCTGACAGTCTACGTTAACTTCTTCATAGCATTTGACAGATATGGTGAGTAATAAATGGGCCGACCTGAACACATAGTCAGAGCTTGTTACTTGATTTCCTCTACTCACCACCTGCCCTCTGCTACTCTGGGGAACATGTTCATTTGCTCTGGAACATACAAATCCTTTATGTCAAATATCTGCAGTGCATCCATCAGTTGTTGCAAAGTATTAACTATAGTTCTTGTGTCTTGACTTTTTGTTGTGGGAACACAGGCTGAGACCTGTGAGGGTGTTTTCAAGCTAACTTCAACTTTAAAATTGTGTTAAAGTGAATCAACTGAGGGTTAAAGCAATGCTATGTAAAAAGTCTGCACAAATGTTATTTCAGATTTTGATAGGTGGATAAAACACATTTATGAGTGTTTATCCTCCATTTCAGCCCTGAATCTGGGTGCATGTCTCAAGTTGGGTGCTGCGACCAATGAGTGTGTTCAGTTTTGGACTTTTACAGAATGTGTACATTTCCAGTCTGCCTCTGTTTGAGTCTGAAAGGCGCCTTATGGAAATAATTCCTTGCGATGTCTGCTGTAGTAAGTTGTTGTCCTGTGCTGCAGACAGACAACCACTATCTAACTCACACTGGTGGTGGACCTTCTCTTTCAGGTGTCACAGTAGGCACAGTGGTGGATCTGCAGAAGAGAATCATTGGAGGTCAAACATGTGGACAACATGAGCGTCACTACCATGTCAGACTGAGGGCAGTTGCTGCTGATGGAAAACGTTATATGTGTGGTGGCTCTCTGATCAGTGACCAGTGGATTCTGACTGCAGCTCACTGCCTGAAGCCGTTAGTAAATTATTTATTAATTAACAAAACCATTAGTTACCCTATGGCACAGACCATACCATACCAACTTTATTTATAAAGCACTGAAACAACCGAGACGGACCAAAGTGAAGTACGGTGTGATTAACAATATACATTAAAAATAAACACAACTTACAAGCACAAACAAAATTGACACAAAAATAACATATCAATCAATACAAATAAGATTACACCAATAAATAGTATCAGATCATTAATTGAATATGTTCAAACAGGTTTTGCTTATATTTATTAATATTTTTCTCTTTGACTTTCTACCTCTAGGACTATGTTTGCACTTTTAGGTGTACATCCAGGTCCAACACAACAGGTTCAAATCACGACACAACCTGTGATCTTTAAGGACAAAGACAACAACAACAATGTCAGGCACCATGACATCATGCTGCTGAAGCTTCCTACACCCACTCAGATCCAACCTGTAGGCCTTCCTGACTGTCAAAATCGTCTCAGTGTGTAAGTTTAATAGGTCTATACATAATGTCATTAGTGGCAAAACTTGTTTTTAACGTTATTTTATGACTTGGAGAACATTATAAAACCTGTTTCTTTTTTATTGCTTTTCCAGAGGTGCTACAGTTCAGATTGCAGGTCATGCCTCCACAACAATGGGCCCCAATAATAAAAGAAGTGAGCTGAATCTTCTTTATTATTTGATTACATTTGTAATCCTAAACTGTTTAACACCGTTAGTGTTCTTATTTTGGCTTGCTTGGTTTTTAAACAGTGGTGATACATGTTTAAATTTGTTTCTTTTTTAAACTGTGAATTGTGTTACTTATTAATTTTTATGTATACGTACATAATTCTGTCATAAGACAAACTGACTTGTTAATAATGTAGATAAGTAACCTAATGTAAAGATGGTGTTTGATCCTTAAAAAAAATCTTCAAAGATATTTGGATGTATTTCATAACATTATAAATAAGTCAAATAAATTTAATTTCTGTGTGTAAAGTACAGCAGAGTTTTATTAACTTGTTGGTGGAATCATTTTCACTCTGACAGTTAACGGTTGATTTAGCTTTTAGTGTTGTAGTAAAAGAACACTTTTTTCTGTTCTGTCTAGAACCTGGTTGGTCAAACACTCTCCAGTGTGCAAACATTGATATTGTCGACTGTCAGAGGGTCAGAAACTATATACAGCAAGACGACCCACAGTTTTACCAAGCCTTCAGCTGTCAGCACTGGTTCTGTGGCCAGACTCCTGGAGTGGATGTATGTCATGTGAGTGATCCTGGATTCCGACCTAACTTTGTTTTGTACAGTCATTAGAAGTTGTGACCAGTTTAGGAATCAGTTTTTTAAAAAGAATGAAAAAAATGTAATATAACCAATCTAAATGCTTTGGTCTTACAGGGTGACTCAGGTGGAGGAGTGGTGTACCAGGACAGGATTTATGGTGTCAATAGCTTCACTGGTGATCCAAAATATGCCTGTTCTGAAGCAGCCGGGTTTATGGACATCTGTCATCCCCAATACTTTAAGTGGATCCAAAACACCATTACAAGCCCCTAAAAATGTCTAACGTGTGGCTAAACAATGTGTGGTCCTCTCAGTTCACATTAAGAATGACCAGAGTTCTGAATTTACTATTAATAATTTAACAATTGACTGGTATATGTTAAATGTCCTGCTATCATTTGTAATCCCCAATATTTCAACATTTTTAAAAATCAAATTTGTAAAAATAAACAATTGAACAAAGTACGGTGCATTTTCCTATGTTCGTATTCTATAAATTTTGTTTGTCATTTTACAGTCATTGTATAGAATAACTATAAAGAGACATAATAAATTTTTCTTTAAACCACATTGAAAACCATGATAAACAATATAACTTTAAAATAAAATGATGAGGTACAATAATTGTCTAATGGATTTTTGTTGCTTTTACCTTTCAAACAAGGTAATAATGAGCATATTTCTGCACAATTTCCAAACATTTAGAAATAAAGTTACTCAATATATTCATAACACCAGGAATGAATACTTCCTTGTAGTACACACACACACACACACACACACACAGAGAGAGAGACTGCCTCCTACGTTCTATTTAATTTGCCTAAATGATCTGATTACTGGTTTTTTGGAGTTTTAGAGCTTTTAGAGAATTTCTTCTTCTTTAGTTCAGTCCCACCTATAGGTTCCCAACGTTGGAGACATTTAGAGCAAAAGATGAATTTTGACTGGACCAAATTCACCTCTTGTATGAGCGACATGTGGAATAAACCTGGCTAGAGGGTTAACTCCTTCAGTTTGGGTCCTCATCCCTGTGTAGACTCCACTCCTGATGTTGGAGTTATTGTACCTCTGCTCCCTACCACTATCACTAACTGACTTCACTGACTCGCTGAGAGGCATCTGTGACAGGGACTACCTGGTGTGGTTAAAAACTAAATCTGTCCCTGGTGTGATACACAGTGGACAACAAACATGAGCTGAGCAATATTGTATATATAAACTAATATGGTATAATATTTTGCACCTGAATTATGATCAGTGTTTGACATATTAGAGCAATAAACTCTTCACATATACCAGCAGATAAAATAAAATGAGGTTCCTCTGTCAGTGTTTCCATATTTCTCCAAGGAGGCCCAGTGTGCTTGTGGGAATGGGAAACATCCCCTCACCGCTCTTGAACGTAACCTTTGCCACTTCTAGCCCCTCCCTTCCTGTCAGTCAGGGCCTGGGATATTTAAAACACCTGTTAGCTTTGTGACTTACTGCCATGTGGCTCTTTTGGTTCATACTGCAGAG